CAACAGAAGGGCGCCCTGTACGTTGGGCACGAAGTATAGGACACTTGCATGGTTAAAAAGAAGGGCGCCACCTACGTTGGGCACGACTTCCGCCTCATTTTTACAATGCGAGAACTCTATCTTGTATTCTAGTATCTTTGGTTTAACGTGAAATTATGCTAAAATTTATTATTATATCCACGGTGGCCGTATATATATCCATACTGTATCCGTATTTAACACTGATGAGTTTTGGTTGGTTTTGGTTCGTACATGATTACACGTATATAGTAGGCCTACTTTTGTCATCAACAATCACCCCGTAAAGCCGCTTGGTTACTATTATGGGATAATAATAGAGTAAGACGTCTATAAGCAGAAAAACCCTCCCAGCCTTCGTCAATTAGTTGAAACTAAAATATATTTTTCTCTCTCATTATGGAAACGCTACACTTTTTTTTTTTAATTCAAAATCGTCATAAATTACTTAACTTCTAACATTATATACTGTACTATTATGTGTAGGCGGTACCAACCGTTTTTCACCTATTTGATTATCCTGACGCAGAATCCAGCTATTTTCGATTCCACAGTGAAACGTGGTTAGGCTTGTATGGACATGTAGCTCTGACGATTATTATCCAAAAATTTTGTTAAAAAAAATACTCATTTTATATACAAATTTCGGAAAAAAATGTTGAGCCACTCCGTAATTTCTTTTCTTTTTCTTCCTTCTTACTTCACTGTTAAATGTCATACTTTTTGTATTTATCGTATTGTTTTTATCGTTACATATACATACCGGTACTACTGTACCAATATATTTTTAATAAATTACATAATTCCACTATTTTTATATATTACACATGAAAATTATTAAACGATTTAAAATAAATAAATAAATTGATTAATTAAAAAATAATATTAATAATAATATATAAGAATGTGTCTTGAGGATAGGCCCTATTTCCCGCACGATTAAAATCGTACCGTAACGGTACTGGCATGGTCTACAGGAGCTCGCGTGTTTCGTACAGGTAATTCCATTCATAGAAAAAGCCTTTATATTGGAGAAAGCGTACCTGTCGTTAGCCATAGTAGCCTAGGTTAATACTAACTCCGGCTATATAAAATTGAATAAAGATTGAAAAATATTAATCTTATTATTGTAGTATAGTGATACTATGTACACGTTTTCGTAATTGTTATTTATTCGTTAACGTTATTATATTTATATTTAAATTTAATGTATTGTTTAAGTAGGCCTATGAACTATGTCCATATTAAATTAATCTTATCTATTAAAATTGTATATTTAAATAATATAGAAATAGGCATAGCACCAATACCTCTGACGATTAGTGCCCAAAACTGTTTACAAAAACGTAATGCAATAATAGCATATTGACTACTAGGCCTATTGTATATTTTCGGAAAATATTTCGGCCGCTCCAAATCGCTTTCCTTTTCTTCCTTCTTTATTCTTTCACAATTTTGCGTTTAGTCATATTTTTCATACACTCACATAGTCACTTGTTTAGGCCTACGCTAGACATCGGATATGCCTATTACCATGTTATTTAAATATTATACAATTCAAAGAAACTTGAAAATTTCAGATCTCATTAATGAAACATTGCGGGATTAGCACAACCTATCTTGAAGCACAATCATTAAAATCCAGTGAATTTTCGTGGTTAAACAACGTAACTGCAGGATTACGGGACAAAACAACGTATCTACGATGTAGATACGTTGTTTTGCCTCGGAATGGGATTTTATTTTAAATGTTTTAAGCCGACGGAGTTTTGCAAGACAAAATCAATTGGTTAATTGTGATTTCATATGAATAATCAATAACAGCGACGTATGAACTAGCTAGATAATGCATGGGATTTTTGCAAGGAAAATTCAATTGGTTAATTGTGTTTTCATATGAATAATCAATAACAGCGATCGACGTATGAACAAGCTAGATCTAATACATGGGATTTAAAAATTGTTTGGTTATCCATGATATTTTGATATAAATAATCAATAACAGCGAAATACGAACAATAATGCATGTGATTGCCCAAAACGTGAAAATCAAAAAAAAAATGTCACTTAACACAACCGAGCCTGATTGTTCCTGAAAAAACGTATCCGTGAATGTCGCTAATAACTAATATTTATAATTTTATTTAAAATGTTTTTCAATGTCAACCTAAATTATGCGACATTATGCTATGGTTTTGGTGAAATTATGCGTAGCATAAATGCTATGCTACAGGGGTCTAAATTATACTACAAAGCATAATTATGCTACGTGTGGCCAGTTGTTACAATAAGATGTACCCCCTCTATTGATGTTTCAATTCACTCCTCTTAATTCAACCCATCCATTATCTTCGTTGTCTATATAGATGAACTAACTATTTGAGATGTTGCGTCAGCGAGATAAAGCGTTGATCTTTCTTTGTATTTTTTCGTTTGTAAGTTGTTGTTACTCACGAAAATATCTGATTGGTAAGTAGCAGACACATTTACTTATTAATTGAAAGGTCCGGAAATTAAAGTAGGCCTACATTTTATTTAAAATATGTATGATAATTAAATTTAACGTGAATTTCCAATACCCGAGCAGTGTAACGCCGAAAAAAAATGAAATAATTAATAATATTTGATCAGTTTTAGAGAGCGAGTTAGCGAAGTGGTATAGTGATTAATCTTTGGTGTGAGAACTTACTAGCTGCCGTTGTGTCCTTGGCAACTGCTATGATCATACCTTCCTTGTTCTTCGGGCGCGACTTTAAGCTGTTGGTTCAGGTATAGCACATGCGCGCACGAAATCATATGTACACTATTCTGTATTGTATGTATGATAAGCAAACACAGATGGTCCCCTCTTATAACAGAAAAATTAAACTATGATAGCAAAACATTAGCCAGTGTTACTACACTTACAATGTAAATTGCTCTAAAACAAACCTATAGGCCTACTACTAGCGAATCAAAATGTGAGTGTGAAGTTTACTTTTGTAGTTGTGAATACGGAAACAGCGGTCTCATCTTTCCACACGAGCGCATTAACATTTATTGCGCAAGATCATCTTTAGAGTTATTTATATAAGAATTAAGTTTCTGGTGTTGCGGTAATGGGAATGAATAATCCTACTAAAACAAAGCAAGTATGATTATAGACAGCAACCATACTTGATTCTTACAGATGAACAAAAAAGAGACAGGAATCATAAGCTATTCATCAGATTTTCTTTGAATAATAAATGTTGTAAGTGTGAGGACTTTGAAATATTACCGTACATGCTTAAAACGAGGTTACCAAATCAGAATATTCAATAAACTAGGTAGAGTTGAATAGCTTAGTAGTCTAATGCTTGCCTTATAAAATCAGGGTCCTGGGTTCAATTCCTGTGACAGAAAGACTAAAAACAGCTCCACTCCTTAAGCCTGATATAAAAAGACTTCACTGATTAAAGCATCACGTTATTTTATTTATTTAAGAGGGCCCCTGAATATAATATCAGCAAAGATAATAAATATCAGAAGATAGAGCAACTTCCCAATATAGTGGAACATCCGTTCGAAATAGATTGTGGGGACACGGAGAGCAATTTTACCCCAACCGCGCGGCGGCGCTATACATCAATACAGTAGTAAAGATGTTGGTTCGTTTGTTTCCTGTATTTTCTCCACTCAGTCAAATGGTCAAATTTTACCCCGCTCGCGGGAGGGTGGATGTTCCATCAATTTTAATGCAAATACGCGGAACAGCTCATTCTTCTGCTATTTAAGTTCTTTGATATCAGTCAGTCTTCTGAATACGCTGGAAGGGTCACCCTCTATAAGTATGTTATTAAAAAATGGATACCACCGGGTTCTTCAATAAATGCTTGTCATAAGAGAGTATGTAACAGACGCTACAGAATGTGATGCAGGCCATCGTGGTTGTATTTTAAACTTCATTTGATCATATTCAAGAATAACATACATAATCTGACGTTTAATACTTTAAATCTGTGTACATTATCACATTTTCTGTAACAAATGTGTGATGTGCCTATATATGGGCATGATAATATCAGACAGTAATATGGACAAACAGTAATTTGTCACATAAAATGTGATTGTGTGGACAAAGCGTAACAGGAATAACAGCAAAAAGTCAAATTAAATCGATGTGCTATTTGTATTTTTGTAATCCTGTACTACTCCTTTAATATTAGTCTGTGATATCATTAATCTTTAAAAAGTGCAACACATTGGCAAGTCCCTTTAATCTAATTGTCACCTGCCACATCCAAGGGAGACGTACGGACGATTGTGTTGTTATAAGTGACGACGTCATCGATAGTCGTCCGAGTTTCAAAGAGAGAAGATAATTTTGTTTTGTTTTTATTAAGTCTTCAACATATTCAACAATTAATGTTTACCAATGAAGGTCAAATTCTGGCGTTTTCATCGACGCCTGTGAACGTTGGTTAACATACCGAGCGACCAAGCATGGAATATACATAGCAATTAGGTCTATACCCGGCACGCACACGACTGTTGAAATAAGTAAATGTTGTATCATTTCAATTTTCACTTGAAAGTATACGGTAGTCTAATATCAAATTAAGCATTCATATTGATTTTTATTTTAAAGGATTTCTATTGTCGATTGATATATTTTTTTTTCTCCTCTGAGTATTCGCTTTATTTTAATAAACTGACGTGTTAGATTTTCTTTGACATCCACTAGTAAAACAATCACCGCCAAAGTGTTTTAAAAATAAATTTAGAAAATTGTATAATAAAATTATTATTTATATTTAATTAATTATAAAATAAATAAATAACTTTAAAAAAAACTCATAACGAAACAATTGATTACTAGATCTAGTTGAATTTAAAATCATTTACTTTCATTTTTTATCATAACATTAATTTTGTGAATAAATACATTTTTGTCCTGCATTTTCAATGACACTTTCTCGACTAATAGCATGTGATATCAATGCTGTCATAAAGCCTATAATATGGCGGAGTTTCGTTGTTTTTATTATTTATTCATCATGATCATGATCATCATCGTCGTCGTCGTTGTCGTCGTTGTTGTTTTTTGTTGTTACTGTTATTACATAACTTAATACACATTCAACCCGTAGTGGGAACTTACTTCGAGTGGTTACACCTAAATTTAACTCGTATAAAATGAGTTCGAGTCTTAAGGTTGCCGGAGAAAAAATCTGGAATGAATTACCTTCAAATATCACCCACTCACCTTCAATTTATTCTTTCAAAAAGACTTACAAGGCTCACTTCTTCCCCCTTAATTGATTTCTGGCCTTGTCTGATTATTATTTAGGTTTTTCTGCTTTTGAAAAGCCGCACCCCCTTATTTGAGGTGGCGCCGTCAACTTAGCAGTGCACGGTAGGGGAGCCGCAGGCTTATCCTCGGTGGAAGCTACCGGAGCCCAGCAAACTGACGCCGAGGTACCTGCGTGTACACGGTAGTGATGGCGGCGTCATCTCAAAAGCGGGGGCGCGCGTATGCTATTTTCGTGATTTCTGAAGAGGAAATGGAGGAAAAAAGAATGAAAAAGGAAAGAAAAAAAAAGTGGAATTGGGGAGGAAAAGGGTTACGAAATGATGATTATGATTATTAATGCCTGACTCTGGGTGTGTTCTTTTGTGTTTTGTTTAACATTATTTTTTTGTTGTTGTTTATCATTTTTGTTATTATGATTGTTATTATCATTATTAATAATATTATTATTATTATTTTTTTCTTTTTTCCAGGACCACAATGAAAAACATTTCTTTAAAATGATTGTGTCATCCTGGCTAAAGATATTAGTAAATAAATACTGTATATTTAACTTCTTTATGTTTAGGAGCTTTATTTGGCGATGAAGAATCCATGGAAACAGGTCAAAGGGCAGTGGAGATGGCGATACAACGAATAAATCGAAACAAAAAACGATTTGAAGGAGTCCAGTTAGAATACATCGCTAATGGAACCAGTGGGGTGATAGATACATTCAAGGACATGCGCAATGGTGGGTTTAGCATTTGGCATGGTACACAATGGCTGGTTTTCGGCCTTCGGTGGATCGTGAGTCTGAGCCATGAAACTTAATCACGTAATCTCCATCCTTTTTGAATTTAAAAAAAATAAATTGCAATTATTGACGAAATTAATTTTCAATAATAAGCCTATAACGCCACTTTCAGTTGCAGATCAATTAGAGTTGTTACCCCTGACCTAAGTCCAGGTTTATGCACCTTCTTAATCCTCACTCATCGTTGACGGGTGAACCTATCAGTTAACCTAACCGGAGACAGTGGGGTCGCTGAATTATAAGCTTGGCAAAACATTATGAAGAAAAAACATTTAAGACAACGTTTTGAATGTCCCACACAGTATATTTTAATATAGATAAATCTACCATTGCATTTAAGCAATCTTCTACAATATCCACTTTCAAATCTATCATCAAAACTATTTTTTTAAGGAAACGTCATAACTTTCAGTCTAAAGCGCATTTGATGTTAACATTGTTTTATAATTTGCGCTATATACATTCTCAATTATTATTATTATTATTATTATTATTATTATTATTATTATTATTATTATTATTATTATTATTATTATTATTATAATTATTAGTTATTAATTGGTACTGATTAGTTGCGTAACTCGATATTCCATGGAACCGTCGAAAAAAACTACCGGTATTTTTTTAAGGGAACATTATAAACTTCAGTCTAAAGCGCATTTGATTTTAACATTGTTTTACAATTTGCGCTATATACATTCTCAATGATTATTATTATTATTATTATTATTATTAATATTATTATCAGTTATTAATTGGTACTGATTAGTTGTGTAAATATTAATACGTATCACGGCAGAATAATAGGGCCCACGTTTACCCGACTGACTCTGACTCGTCTTCTCCTGTCCACTGTTCGTCAAATAACAGTTGGAAATAATAGAATATAAACCTATAAATTATTTCGAATAATTTTAGGAAATGTTTTAACACCTCACTCAACCTTTCGTTTGTCCCCGCTCCCCGCGATCAGGTTTTCTTCGCCAGTGTTCTCGACCTTTATTGTTTGCAACGTTCCCGTTTTATACAACTTACAATTGAATGTTATGTTTACCGTTTGTCTCTTTGCAGCTTGTTATCAGTTATCACAAGGAATATATGCATTCATAGGTCCCATTAGTTCCTCGTCTGTTAAGGCGGTTTATCCAATTGCCGATAGACTTCACATACCGATCATAGCGCCTTTCGCTACGGATCCTACGCTCTCATTGGACAATAAAACATTCCCGTATCTGATTAAGATGAGTGCGTCAGATAGCGTGCAGGGGAAAGTACTGGCGGCACTCGTCGATCATTTTCAGTGGACTCGGTTAGCTATTGTGACTTCACTTAGTGATTATGGTGAGTACTATAATCATTAAACACAACATCACATCACATTTACTTGATTTGACCATGAACAATAGTTAACAACCATATTAACAAATTACAAAAGTCATCCGAAAGAAAACAAAATCAATATCTAAGTATTGGCAAAATGACACAAAAAAAAAAATCACCGAGTAAAGAATAGGCCCTATAGGTTTACAAAAAAATCATTTTTATTTTAATTATATATTACTTCTACGTTTTTTGACTAAATGTTGAAGATCTTAAGTTGATAAATACTAGTCTTCAGTCTCCATTACTCCTACGTTGTCTCACTAAAAATCCTTTCAATTTTTATAGGAATTAACGGAATTCAAGAGTTCCAAAAAATTGCACTGGTGAAGCAATGGTCCATAGCAACAATTGAACAGTTTCTACCGACCGCAAATGCAGCTAATATTAGAGTCCACGAACAACTTTTGCGCATTCGCGACGATAAAATGGCGCGTATTATCATTTTGAATTGCTTGGCACCCTACGCAAAGTACGTCCTGCTCGAAGCTGAGAGACTCGGAATGACGGGACAAGGATGGGCGTGGGTGGTGACTGATGGTGTCACAGCTATGGTAACGTTTTGTTTTGAAGATTAATATTATTATTATTATTATTATTATTATTATTATTATTATTATTATTATTATTATTATTAATATTATTATTATTATTATTATTATTGTTATTGTTGTTATTATTATTATTATTATTATTATTATTTTTATTATTATTATTATGCCATGTTCAAAGCACAATTATCTGTCGCATATCAAAATTGTGCTATGATATTATATCTGCCGTATCAAGTCAGAAGTATGAATTTTCACCTTTTTTTTTACAAACGCAACCAGTTTACTTTTGTGACGTTATAAAAGGTTATCTACTACAAACGATTTAAACTATACTGTTTATAGCAAATCTATAATATTTAATATAATCCATAACATCATATGCATTCATTCATGTTTTAGGACGGATTATACGATAGCGATAAAAGTGTTCCGTCTCACCTGCAAGGTCTCCTTGGGACTCGGCCAGCTATTAGCAACGACTCCATCACTCAAGACTTCATCAAGAGATGGAAAAAAGCATCAAAATATCCCCGATCTATCAAAGGACCTGAATCAATTGAGGTAGGTAGCTTCCAGTCTAGACTAAAGCCGGAACTAGATTTATCAAGATCTTCTTAAGGCATTTGGAACATTCGAAATTACAACACAAAGCAAAAATGAAGATGATAACAATTAGCAACAGGGAACAGTTGTATTGCTACGTACAGACCATTGCTGCAATTCCTTTTAACCGTTTGGTTAGAAAAGGAAACGTTCAAGCTTATTTGAGAAGCTATAATATAACTTTATGTATTTTTTACAGGGCTTGGTCTATCGAACTTACGATTCCGTGTTTACTCTTGCGTATGCACTAGCGGATTGTAAAGATGAGGGTGTGGATCTCATACCACCCATGTTTCCAAAGAAAATATGCTCAACAAGCGAAGCCGAACCATGGGCTGACGGAGAGGAACTCCTAAACAAAATCAGAAAGGTTTATTTTATTTATTCATTGCAAAATAGAAATATTCAAGTATTTATGACTTGAATTTAAGCAAAATCAAAACTTTTTTTTTTCGAAGAACCTTTATTTAGACAATTTTTCCTTGAATTACTGTACCCCTCCCACTTCTATGCTTGCTAAACAGAATTTTCTCAAGTTATGATCATGTTGGAGACAAATTCCTCACTTGTTGATATAAGTTATAATTTAAAATCATTTATTAACGGTACTTATTTATTGTTGACATTGGTTGTTGATATTTATCTTATACAGTCTAGCGGTGAAGGTGTTATGAATTATTTAAACTTTACCACTATGAACACTCCGTGGTCGACCGATTTCGACATTGTATTACTTGAGAAAAAAGGTTTCAAAAAGGTAGGTAGACCACACAATTGATAATAAAATGTTTGGGAATTTATTATAATTATGTTAAAACCACTCAGCGATCATGTAAGAGATTCTTCATGATATTTGTACAGTACCGTATTCGCGCGAATAAGCGCCCGGGCGCTTAAAATATTTTTTTGCACTTTCTGAGGGGCGCTTATTCAAACGGGGAGCTTATGAAAACAGAGTGGAAATTATAGAAATAGATGAAAATCGAGGGGTTCTTATGGGAAATTATTTTAATAATTAAAATTCAAGAGGCACTTTTTGAATGAAAAAAAAAGGTTATATATGGACATTACGAATGGTGGTTAGAAAAGATAATCGTCCAGAGAACATGGCTCATAACAAGAATGCGTGAATATTTACATAACAGCAAAATAGCAGATGCAATTAGTGGTGGGTAGTGGTTAACTTGTTGGCCATCGGCCGATTGAGATCAGCAGGATGGCAGGATCATTGTATTTTTCTTGAAAACTCAGATGAGAATGTGCTTATAAGGTCGAAAAAAGGAAAAGAGGAGTAGGACTAGACATAGACAAATATGTAAAAAGTTTAAAGTTGGAAATATACTGTATGTCCAGAAATCGGAGCACTCATCTGTCCAAGAGAAATATCCTCATTTTGATATTGACTGAAGAAGAATGTGTTTCCACTCTACAGCTCAAATCATGCCAACAACCACAGTCCCAGGACTGATTGGATTATTGACTTGCTAAAAAGAAAATCTTATTAGGGGGCGCTTATTCAAATTAGAAGGGCGCTTATTCAAACGGGGCGCTTATTCGCGCGAGTACGATTGTATTACTTGAGAAAAAAGGTTTCAAAAAGGTAGGTAGACCACACAATTGATAATAAAATGTTTGGGAATTTATTATGATTATGTTAAAACCATTCAGCGATCATCAAAGAGATTCTTTATGGTATTTGTACAGTAATTATGACTTCATCACTTCGTAGCATTGCAATTGCTCCCTCTAACTCAGCTCTAACTCTTCAATGGCGCCCTCAGCGATGCGTAAGTGTTTACACTTCAAACCATAGAGATAATATAATACTATGGAGCTATTATTCTTATTATAACTCATATGCTTAAAACAAACTCATCATAGAGACCTGGAGCCAGTTGCTATATCTCGCCTTGTTAAGTGTTTGGTTAAATCCAACAAATATTTTCTGTTTTTCAGGTTGGACTGTGGTCAAATGATGAACTGACTATAGACGAGAGCCAGATTGTTTTTATGGGTAACACAACCAAAGTTCCTGTCGACGTCTCACTTGATCTTTCCAACGTTACACTTAAAGTCACCACTATAGTGGTAAGTTGTCGTGTGTTTGATCACGTGTATTCTGTGACGTTGTGGGTAGATCTGACGTAATGACAGAGCATTACAATAGTGATTGAAATATTGCGTGTATGATCAATTTGATTATGGATATTTCAAGTTTATGTTGACAACGATAATTTTTTTTATGATGAGTATCTGTTCGTTAACAGGAACGACCATTTGTGATGTATGAAGACGGAGTTTTTTCTGGTTTCTGCATTGACCTTCTCACAAGGTAATGTAAAATCCATAACTGCTTAATTATGAAATGATAAATTGCTGTAAATTTAACCAATAAACCAACAAAAAGTAAACTCACTAACAGAACAACGACCTACACATAATAAATAAAAACGACGTAAAGGTACTCTGCTGAACATCACAACACTACCGTGAAAAACTATTTTCTAAGGCGTTCATTACGTAGCAATCAATGAATTTCTCAAACGAGAAGTGGCGCCTGCCTTCATAAGTGCGTACCGTAACTGATTCTCTCCGTTCATATGATATTGTACCTTGTTGCAGGAACTCTGGCAGTGACCAGAGCCACTGTGGCTCTGGCAGTGACATACGTAGTTCGCCCTATGTCTCAATCTAAAAGCTGCTATTCAATGACATCAATATACATGAAGATGATTATTAAAATATGTTATTGTTTGGCATACGTACTGCGCCCTCTATCTAAATCTAAAAGTTGCTAATGAATGACGTCAATATACATAAGATGCTTATTAAAATATGTTGTTTTTTCTACATAAACATGTAGACTACAAGAGCGAATGAACTTTACATACGAAATTGAGCTAGTACCGGACGCAACGTATGGAGCTTTCGAAAACGGAAAATGGATCGGTATGGTTGGAGAACTCGTTTATGGAGTAAGTAATAATTACCTAGTGAAAATAGCAATTGCAAAAGTCTACTAGTAGTACTAATTAACATCATTAACAACATTAATATTTGCATTTTCCTATTATATATTTAATTATTTATCTTTATGTAAATCAGAGAGCAGATATAGCTGTCGCTCCGTTTACGATCAGTTACGAACGACAACAAGTGATCGATTTCACTAAGCCATATCTTGACCTAGGATTGACATTTCTGATGAAGATCGAATACCCAGAAGTGGAATTGTTTGCCTTTCTTCTTCCGTTTGACTCATTGCTGTGGACCACTGTCATCGCCGCGACGCTAATGGTTGGCATCATCATCTCTATTTGCAGTTACCTCAGTCCACATGGTTACTACGGTGCGTACTTGACGCGTTCAGATCCAGACGACATGTCGGATTATGATAACAGAAACGCACTGAATATGTACCAATCACTGTGGTTCTCCTATGCTTCTCTTGTCCAACAGGTAAAGTGGAAAACAAGCACGTGATCAGAAACCCACCACTGAAAGCCAATCGAATATAGGCCTACCTCTCATAGTTTGATTATATCAAAACCCATTGCATATCCGCAGACACTCATATATAAATATTGTCTACAGTCTTATAAAGAATTATTACCTAAATAATTCTTCCACAGTCTTCAAAACCTGTTAATTGATAAAAACTATAATGTGCACATACATACGCCATTATGGTTTGCTTGTAGCAGTAAACTACCATCGGCCTTAACATTTTACCAGGATTCAACCCAAGAACTTGGAATTAGGAGCCGAGCCGTTATAAGCCAACCTCCGCTCCTACATTCAGTATTTTAAATACAACCTTCAATATTGGCCAACAATTATTTTGTTTTGATTTTAAATTATAAATTGGAAGGTGTGAAGGAAACAGTTCACCCTCCAATTCGAACCCACATTTGGGACCTAAAATATTGGGTGGTCTTGGGATTCGTATCCACGATGAGTGTTGAAAATTGTCAGGTTCTTTAAGAAAGTGGACTAGAAATTAGAGAGGTTCGGGATTAGAATTTTGTCGAATTAGAGGATGCATTGTATGAGCAATAATTGAATTTGTTTTATTTACTTTGGTTGTTGTTGGTAGGGTGCTGATTCTCAATCTAGGTCACCGCCGGGTCGCGTGGTCGCAGGATGCTGGTGGATTGCTGTCACCATAATAATTTCCACATACACCGCAAATCTAGCTGCCTTCTTTACAGTATCGCGAATGGATACAGGTACGTTTATACAAATTCTTACGTTGTTGATATATAATGATAGATAAAGCTGATATATAAATTGTTAATCATTCAGCCTTTGTAAAGCTATTGCTGAAAGAGACTAATTTTCAAAAAGACAGTGTCTTGTTCCTAATGATAATTGTAATCGAAACACTTATGCAAGTCTGTCTTGAATAATTAAAAGTAGGCCTAGGTAACAATAACCACGACCAGTTAATGTACTTCTAAATATCTAATAGGCCTAATGTGTTTGTTGTAAAGGGATTGGATCAATTGACGATTTGGCGGAGCAGAGTGAGATTAAGTACGGAACAATTCGTAATAGTCAACCCCAGTCGTATTTCCAGAGCGCCAAACTGGAACTCTTCCAGGATATGGCAGACTTTATGCGCCAGCATAATACATTCGCTGAAAACTCAAATGACGGAATCGCTAGAGTCCGCAAAGGCAATTACTCATTCATTTGGGACTCGTCCGTACTGGATTACGTCGCCAACCAAGAGCCGTGTGACGTCATGACGGTCGGAGGCTTGTTTGGAAAACTTGGGTACGGCCTGGGTCTACCAAAGAGTTCACGGTTTAAGGTTCGCTTCGAACGGGAAATCTTACGTCTCAGACAGGAAGGATTCATCGACGAACTGACAGAGAAGTACTTCGGAGGGGTATGCCCAAGCCGTAGTACATGTAAGGACGATTTTTTAACAATTTGAGTAATGCTTAATAAAGTTTTTTAACAATTTGAGTAAAATGCTTAATAAAGTTTTTTAACAATTTGAGTAAATGCTTAATAAAATTTTTTTCACAGTTTGAGTAATGCTTAATAAAGTTTTTTTTCATAGTTTGAGTACCGTAATGCTTAATAAAGTTTTTTAACAATTTGAGTAAATGCTTAATAAAGTTTTTTAACAATTTGAGTAATGCTTAATAAAAGCTTTTTTCACAGTTTGAGCAATGCTTAATAAAGTTTTTTTCACAGTTTGAGTAATGCTTAATAAAGTTTTTTTCACAGTTTTCTAGACATTTTTCACGTCATTATGTTACTATATTGGTTAGCCTACTATATTTTTTTTGTACCGGTACATAAGCTTCAGATTTCCTGATAACGATATTAGTCAATGATAATAGCTACAATCTCATTTACATGACAGTCATATATTTTATATACACAATGATATATAAAATAAGTTTCACTTATGAGGCTTAAGAAATGGAGTTGTTTTGGTTCTTAGAACAAGTCATGCACTTGATAGGAATTGATCCCGAAACTCGAAAATTTGGTACCTTAACCAAAAGTACAGGTCCACTCCACGTTCCATATGGCATTGATTAGCTGTATCATTGCCATTGTTATTATTATCATCATCATCATTGTCGTCATTACCACCGCCACCTTTAACCTTTCTTGTTATTAATGTTACATAATATATAATGTAATAATGTTATTCATATTCATTACTTTTACAGCCGGTACCTCTAGCAGTAAGATGAACTTCGTAATGATGGCCGGCGTCTTTTACGTCATGTACATTGGATTTGTTATAGCAGTTTTCGCTTTGATATTGGAGTGTGTCTGTGCTTCTTACAAGGACAGCAAAGCATCTTTACGATCGCGAGACAGGGT